AACAAAATATAAAACCTATAACAAACAAGCAAAAAAAAAAAGGAAAATCCCAGGGACAGCCAGGGAATGAGTTCCTCTTTCAAGTCCAAGAGGATTGGACACTGGGCATGAGACTGAACCAAGCCTCTGTCTGGGCCCTGCTCTGTATAGAAGACAGCTAATGTGCCTGACTCGTGGCACTGTCCTCAGTCCCAGAGAGGGGCAAGGCCAGCAAGAACCCTCATTTCCTGCTCTGATGACCCCAGAGGCCCAGGGAAACCTGCAGTGCCCTCCCCATGGACACTACCATCTCTTCCAAGGACCACTGGGTAATTTCAGATGTCATGGAATAAAGCCAGTCCCACCAGAACTGTCTAAAGGACAAAATCACCCAAAAGGAAAAGCTACTCCTGTGAGCCTCTGGAAGACTTGAGATTTCTCTTCAGAAAGCAAGATTCCAGTGCCACTACAAGAAGCATGGAAATCTGACCTGCTCCTCATATTTGGACTAACAGTGAAACTCAATGGTCCTTAACTCTTTTCAGGTTGGTTTCTGACAGGTTTTTCTTTCTTCAACCCAGCCAGTGAGCCACTGCACCCCAAGGTAGTTGGACAGCACATAATCCCCAGTACACAGGGTCTGCAGCCCCTTCCAACTCGAAGAAGTTATAGAAGCCAGAGGCCTCCACTTCTTTTGTACCGCATAAAGAATTATGAGGATCTGTTTCTCTCAGAGGGAAATAAAATAGGAGATTAGGGCATGGCAAAGCTGGCTAGGCAAGTAGGCATGATCTGTTAATTACAAGATTCTGGAACACAAGCACAGAACAGTTCCCAAAGCCCTGCACCAGAACTTCTCACAAGAAATTGAGCAAATTTTCAACTGGATGGCCTCAACTTGACATCAGCCTGAGATGTGGGATCCCAGCGTTGCCTCTCAGGACCCATAGGTAGCTCTTCTAGGTTTCTTCGAGATTTGGACAGCATAAAAGGATACAGACACAAGAGAAGAACTAGTGATAAAATGTAAAGATGATAATGCAAACTCTATTTTTCTTTTGAAGGTTTTTTTAAAAGATACACACTAAAGACTTAATACTGTCATCTCAAAACTATCAAACTTAGAGCTTGTAATAAAATTTGATAGCTTAAAAAAAAAAAGGATACTGACACCAAGAAGAGATGCCCTGCATCCTCCAGGGTATACTTTTATCTTGCTTTTTCGTCTTTTACTTGGTTTAAGCTAGCTCTGCAGAGCCAGTTTCTCCCTCACTCTTCATTTTACTTTTTTAAATAAATTTTGCCACTGCTAAAAAAAAAGAGCCATATCAGAGTCATAAAATTATAGAAGGTAATAAGCAGATTAAAGAGCACTAAAAATAACTGCCATGGTTTATAGTTGAAACAAAGGCCCCATGAGTATAAGGACTAGTTTGTATAATATCAGGCTTCCAAGATCACTCATGTTAAGAAAGCAGAAAACATTAAGTACAAGAATTGGGGAAACTGTGTGAGAAAAAAGATTAATAGAATTTCCAGGATAAGACAGTGAACAATCCCGAGAAGAAAAATCAATGCTGTAGGATTGGAGAAAGGGCTTCAGAAGGTTAAGTGTACCGATATATTTGACTGTACTGAGAAAAAAAGTACAGTATTTCAGTAAAGAAATATTAATAATCTTAAATGAAAATATAAGGCAATGTCAAAGTCAAAGTGAAAATAGCTCCCTACAAAAGAAAAATGCTATAACATTTGACTCCAATGAAAACAGTATTTATGTCATGATAAAAATGTAAATACTGAATATTCACTTGATCATCTGTGCTATACCTATAATGAAATGATAGCATGAGAAAGGCGATGGAAGATGCTGGTAGAATTAGAGGGCTCAATTCTATTTTTCAACAGGAAAAACTGAGTAGATTACGTAGAAAAGAGAAAACTAAGGAAAAGCAGCATAGATTTTATAGAAATGTGAAAGTAAAAGCAAAACAATAGCAACAAAAGAAGCTAACACAGAAAACTGTTAACATAAAAGTGGCACTTTAGGTTGTTGCTCTGCTTTTCTGTATAAGCAATACTATGTTAACTGACTTAAAATGATGGGCACACATTATATATTATTTGCAACTTACATAATCATTTTCTACACTAAAAAAATTGCTTTCATTACTTTGAAAATACAAAAGAGATGTAACAATAAAGTGGCATAAATACTCTAGAAACTATTATGTCCAGATGTAAAGAATTTTAAAATTACATACTCATAATATGATAACAAACATGGCAAATGCTTAATTTTTAATTATTACAGTAAAGACACACTGCCATTAATCCCCCTCACTTCTAACATACTTAACCCATCATTCTTGACACTTTCTGAGGTAGTCTTCCAAGTCTTCTCTCACGAGTGTCTGTAATTGCACTGTTGTAGCTGCCTTGATGTCCTGAATCAATTCAAAATTTACCTTTCCTGGTCATTTTGAGTTTGAGGAAAAGCTAGAAGTTGCACAGTGGGAGATCTGGTGAACAAGGTGGATGATGACACACTGTAAAGTCTTTATGAGCTTGCCTTTCCATTGGATGGCATGTAGCAGCAACACTCACCATATTTTTTTATCACACCCCATAAAGACACTAAAAAAAGAAGACTTCCAGAACTCCTTCAGAAAGCAGCAAGAATGACAGGATAAGTGTGCTCATAACAAAGAGGAGTTAAAGGGGATTAATGGTAACTTGATTTTTACTGTAATAATTTTTTTAAACACTCGCCATATGTTTCAATCATATCTCATATATTTTGATCAAGTAGCATTTATTACAAGAATGCAAAGATGGACCAATATGAAAAGAATCATTGTAATTTATTACATACATGGCATAAAAAATAAAATGGTATATATACTCTCAATGTATACAGAAAGAATACCTTAAAAGGATTTAATACAGTGAACCCCCCCCAAAACAAAACCTTCTAAAGAACAGAAATGAAATCTACCACAAATATATTTAAAGGAGAAAATTTAGAAATATTACATTCCCCTTGAGGGAAATCACCCTGAGGAAAATTTAGGAGTATTACCTTCCCCTTGAGATTGAAACCAATGTACAAATGTCTTCCTCTGCATTCGATTACAGTATAATAGTCAGTACAAGAGGTCCTAACCAATGTATAGAACTAGAATTAAGATTATTCAGCATGACTGTTGAATCAATAAAAATAATAGTGTGGCAGTACCCTAGAAGTAGTAAATAAAAGTAAGACACCAATGACTTTAAAAATAGAAGAAAAAATCTAGAAATTACCCTAACAGCAACAAAAAAGGTAAAGCAAGAAAAAAATACCTGAGAACTGTAATTTATTCATTATACTGATTTTTCTCCAAAACATCTAAATTCAATGTTAATGCTATAAGAATTTTGAGGTCACAGGATAAACTGATTCTGAAACTTTCATATCAAACCAAAACTCCTGGCAAACAGGGAGATTTGCTTTGCCACATATCAATTACAAAGTTCTCATAATAATAAAAAAATGTAGTTACTATAATATAAACAGAGTAACAAATTCAACTGGCATTACTAGACATCCCAGAAAGAGACTCAGGTTATTTGTCAGGCTGTTTCTCTTACACATAACAAAATCTCATATATGCATAGATCAGTGTGTGACTTTTACACACTGAAAATTTATGTAACTATGGTTATATTTAGACTTTTTTCAATCTAGGGAGATTGGGCCTGGAAAATAGGGAAACTCAAAAATCCAAACTCTGTCTTCCCAAGGGAGCAGTTTTTATAGTTTCTATCTCCAACTTCTAGTTGTTTCCCATTTCATTCTCCCCCAAACAAAGATGAATATTTTTCCCCTCCTTTTGGCAAGGGGGGCTGGGAGGAAGACAGAGGTAAATCACACAGTACATTTATCTAAATGTGCATTAAAACAGAGTTTTGCTATATATTAAAAAATCCAATAGTGATTAATTCAGTGTGTTCAAAATATGAGCTCCCCTTTCTTCTAGTCACCCAACCTGATATCCCTCTATACCTAACTTCACAACTTGTTCAAATGGTAATTGTAAGGACAAAGTTAGTGAAGGCAAAATACAGCAAATGATGATAGTTGCACATGAAAGATAACTCTTTCCTATAAAGGGTTCTCATATTTGAACATGCATAGGAATCACATACAGCTTAACTAAATGAACTGTTGGCTCCCATCCCCAGTTTCTAATCAATATAGCTAGAGTGAGTTCCATCTCTAACAACTTCCTGAGTGTATTAATTCTCTTTGATGTGCCACACTTTGAAAAATGTTGTTTTATAGAACACTGGTTATCAAGTGGGGACTAGGAGCAGGTATTTAACTGGTATCTAGTAAATAGAGGCCAAGACTGCTGTTAAACATTCTACCATGCACACGATGGCAAAGAATTATCAGGCCTAGCACATATATGGTACTGAGATTGAGAAATCCTGCCATAGAGTACTACACAACTTAAATATATGATTGACTATTAAATTGAAGAAAGTTCTTCAGTGCATTTCAGAAATTTGACATGGAATATTTTTAAATTCTATTTTTTTTCAAGGATTGACAACTCTTTGAATTTTACTCACCTATAGCAAAATAAAGTTTCCAAGATATCAATGCTTAGAAAGTATATAGTACTGAGCCACAAAAGGAAATAAAGATATACTTAATATTAGCAGATTTCTAGTAAAGAAATATAAATTAGCATGTATTTTGCAAGAATTGTAAGAAAGGTAATTATATTAAAAGACTAACTTCCTTGAAAAGTAATGGCCAATAATGTTTATTTCTTAACCGAGTGAAAAGCAAACAAGTATTTATTTTAGTATTATATATACTATGATATAAATAAAATCTTTCATGGTGAACAGTTTATTTTAAAGGAAAGCAATGATCACAGCAGTAACCAATCTTAAGCAATTATGTTTGAGGAAGGTATACTTTCTGTATACATCTATCTATATTGAAGGTGGGAGACTAAACTTACTCCAACAGGCTGAAAAATAAGTCCATCCATTTCATGGCTGACTTCTTTGGCAAAATTTCCTTCAAGTAACTGTAAAAAAAAAAAAAAAATTACACATGTATTATTTAGCAATACAAAAATTACTTAAAAACTATTTTAATTTCTTGACAAGCTTTATGAAAACTTAATACATAAGCTATAAGAACTAAAATAACAAAATAGGGGAGAGGCAGTTCAAAAATATCTAGGTTAATATATGCTAAGATTTTAAAAAATACATGACTATTTCTATTACAAGCTAGATAAGATATCCTGAACAGCACTAACTACAACAACCAAAATAATGGTTGAAGAGGACAGATGTAAATAACAATATATTGTAGATCTCAAAACACTTAGATTTTGAATGTACTCACCATTAAAAAATGATAAATTTTAAGGTGATGGATAAGCTAATCACCTCAAGTTGATCATCACCCAACATTAACGTGAATCAAAACATCACACTGTGCCTCATAAATATGTACTATTATGTGGCAATCACAAAAATAAAGTAAAATGATAATGGATAAAATACTGAAAACATTTTAAAATGTATTGCTTAGTCAGCACAAAATAAAGATGCAGAGACCTCCCAAAAAAACCTGAAAGTACAAATTCTGAAAAGTAGGAAAGAGAATAAAAAATAAAAACACACTAAAAAAACACAGCCCATAAACTTGCATGGGGACAAGAATTTGAAACCACAAACTAGCTTACACATGGGAATTATTGTATAAAAACACATTGACCGTGTTTTCCAAAAACCATCAGAAAATTTTAATCTTTCTGGTTTGTCTTGTCTTCTCTATTTTTTCAAGCAGAAAATTTCATTACAAAGGATACTCAGTATAAAATAAAACTCCGTTTTTCAATATATCTAATAAAGAGCAGAGTTACAAACTCAATACTATCTGATTAATTCTCAGCAGTACTTTTCAATCCTTCCCTTTCACAGATTTTTATTATTTTGAAGAACTTAACATACATATTACTGATGAACTTCTATATGTCATGGAAGAGAACACAAAGGACTTTGACAGTGTCAGTTACTGTCATATTATCTAAAATCTGGCCAGCTAACAGGAAATTCAGAATAGTTCTGGGATTCAAATAGGTCTCCAAAATTTGGCTATGCTATTTGCTACACTGTATATCCTTTTCATCGCAGTCATATGCTCTTGCAAATACTACACTTTTGAAAAGATTTGCTTTCCAAAAGCAACAACCAAAACTTTAAAGTGTATTTTACAGGCATCAAAATCAGTCAGTCTCCTCCAAAACTGACTTCATCTACTCTGCAATGTCCTTCTGCAAGATGTGTAATTTCTCTGAAAACTGAGAGCAGTTCAGACTGGAGTTTGAACATGTACATTTCCTTTAAAATGCAAGAGTCCTCTGTCACATTCAGAGACAGAAATTAGACCAGTGATAGCTACAAGCTGGAGGGTGGAGGAAGGAGATGGAGGAGTTAAGTGTTTAAATAGTTTCTGTTTTGAAAAGAAAAAAGTACTAGAAACCAATGATGGTGATGGTGGTTGTATAATAACATGAATGTACTTAATGCCACTAAACTGTATACTTAAAAATAGTATGTTTTGTATACATGACATATGCTCAAAAAATAGCGTTTAAATTTTTCAAATTTTTATTATGGTAAAAAACATGTTGCTATTGACCTCTTCAAAATGCTACCCCCGTGGGGCTGGGGATTTAGCTCCAGTGGTTTCGCTGCCTGCTGCGCAAGCACCAGGACCCTAGTTCAATCCCCGGTACCAAAAAAAAAAAAATACTACCCCCTTGTTTCAAACACATTTTGTTAGTTGCATTATGGACTGCCTCAATGTTCTTAAACAATTCAAAACATTCACCTTTCATGGTCATTTTGACTCTGGGAAAGAGCAAGAAGTCACCCAGTGCCAGATCCAGTGAATAAGGAAGATGAAGACACATCAAAATGTTTTTATAAGTCTGTCTCTCTGTTGAATGGCCCTCAGTTAACTGCATTCACCAAATTTTTTATCACATCTTGTGAAGACATTCATGAAAGAGGACTTTCATAACTGCTTCAAAAAGTGGCAAGAATGATGGGATACGTGTGTTTCAAGTGGGGGGAAGTATTTTGAGGGGGATTAATGGCAATGCATCTTCTATTTTTTTAAAAAGATCATTCTCAGTATGTAAACACACATACACCCACACAGTTGGCAACCCTCTAGATAACATGATCTTACCCACTACAAAAATGAAAATAACTTCATTTTTTATTTCTTTTTACTTTTTTCTTTTCTTTTTTTTTTTAGTCTATATGATTATATTGTGTCCTTTCTTATTTACTTTTTTATTGTTATGTGTTTGTAGTACAAAATGTTTACATTTCATGTGTGGAGTTGGTACATATAACACATCTTAATTCCTTTTTCCCTTCCCTCTCTCCCTCTCTCTCCTCCTTCCTCCATCTCTTAATCCTCTTCCCACTTGAGATTTATCCTCCTACTTCCTCTTATTTATCTTTTGTTTTATGAATGAGATAACTTAAAGGACTATAATGAAACTTAGGTCACACAAGAGTTCTTCTGCAGCAGTACTCCAGACTCGGACAATTTTTCTTTCTCTTCTTTTCTCTCCTCTCTTTCTCTCTCTCTTTTCTTTTTCAGTACTGGGGACTGAACACAAGGCCTTCACACCGAGTTGCATCCCCAGCTCCCCCACTTTTCTGAGTTGTTTAGAATAGGTTCTAATTTGGGTTCTTCCTGCCTGAGCCTCCCAAAAAGTGCTAGGACTGCAGAAGTGTGCCAAAATCTCCAGCTCATTTTTTTTTTTGTCTTAACATATTAGCACTTACAATATTGTCTATTATATACTGAAGATCTAGTATGTGCTTGGTAATAAACATTATGATTCAAATCACATGACTTCTCATGAGATGTGGATCCCTGAGTTCTGTACTATTATTCAATTTGACAGAAAAAGAAACTAAGAAAATCAAGACAATAAACATCTAGTTTCAAATCAGAAAGTTTAAAAAAGTAAAAGCACTCAGATTTCAATAAGACTTTAACTAATAAAATAAGCAAATAACCAGACTTCTCTGACTCTCTGAAACAAATACCCTAATGATTTTGAAACTTCCTTAACCTGGTCCTTTAATAGCCATTTAAAATTTATAGCACTTTAAATGTGCTATAGCATGTAGTACGAATAAAGTAAACACAAAAAGGAGGTAAAATTTTTGTAAAAAGAACAAAACATTAAAAAAATTATATTAACATAAAACTTATTGTTAATTTATTCATGTTTGAAATAATATGTGTAAAGTAATAGGTTAAATTAGTAACACTATTTTCTGTCTATTCACAATTCCTAAAAGAAAATTTACCCAAACTTGTTTGAGTACCTTTTACACAAAAGTGTCATCACTACAGCCAATATTTTCAGACATTTTACACATTTCCATTATTTTCTGAGTTAGTATACTTCAAATTATATATCAAGCTGTCACTGCAAATGCTATTCAAGCTACAAAAGCCAACTGAAAAATGTTACAAAGGCACCCCTACCCTGAGTTCTACAGATTTATATTAATAATTTTGGAGATGTTTTGCTCAAGTTAACTTTAAAAGGCTAGTTTAAGGAAAAGTTCCACTTTCACTTAACAATGTTAAAAATGGCAAAAGAATATCACTACTACCCTGAAAATAAAAAATTATAAAGTCAAAACTTTCGCAAAAGCCATCAAAAAGCTTATGTCTGCAGGCAAGTAGATAAACTAAATCCCAACCTTTCCAAAGGAAAATGAGACACATGAACTGATAAGTATCCTTTGGGAGATCAAAGGAAGAAGTGGCAGACATAAAAGTAAATACAAAGAAAACAAATGAAAGTTTGATCAATTCTTAAAAATCAATTACTTAGTACAGGCAAGTAAATGGCTTGCAATCCCTAGAAACTACCAAACACAGCTTTCCACTAACTTGCTACCTATTTTCCCTAGGCTTCTGCCAAGATTCATATCAAAATCTGAGACCAGAACAGGAAATTGAAAGCACCACCTTGGTTACATACAGATATGAGAACTCTGCTGTTTACCATGCCCTTCCTAATATGAAGCAAAACCTGTATGAGAATAAAGTCAATTGCAGTTATATAAAGGTCTGAAGACAGCCTTGGGCCAAGAATAGGAAATGAATAAAAAGCAGAAAAACTTCAAGCCAAAGCTTTCTGAGAGACAGCGAGAGCACAAGAGAGCAAGAGTGAGAGAGACACCCCACTGAGGAATACCTCTGTCAGACTGCAGTGCTGATGTTCTGCTTGATACTGATGTTGCAGGAGAACTAAGAGATCCCCGTGGCCACCACATGTCTGGTACCATGTGACAAGAAATAGTTGTTTACATATGGAGGAGAACACAAGAAGCATAAAAACAGAACACTCTGTGATACAGGGAAACAGACCTTACTGAAAGCTGAAAGTGAAGCAGGAAGACCGGAAAGCCATTTTATACTCCAATCCAGCCTCACAGTAACCAGAGCAACAGCAGCCAATTGCTCAGGGTGTCTGAAGCCTTTGGAACACCAAAGATAAAACTACATAGCAACCTAAACTCACCTCAAATACAGAACACAACGAGTCAACCACTACTCTCTCTCTCCACCCCCACTACGAATGAAGCCTATTAAAACAAACTGAAAAAGTATATCTATTACTGAGCATAAAGATATTTACATTGGGCTGGGATGTAGCTCAGTGGTAGACTGCCTAGTGTGCATGAGGCCTTGGGTGAAAATCCCCAGTACTAAACCAAAAAAAAAAAAAAAAGCAGCCAAAAAGATACTAACCTCAGTCTGTATTGTTCATAAAGAAAAAACTGAATGGCTGACATTCAATTAAAAAATTATCTCTCAGGTGGGGACAATGTTGTGCACCATGTAGTCTCAGCTGAAGGGAGCTAGGAAGGTTGCACCCTTCCCAAGGAAGGTTGGAAGGCTGGAGGAGGATCAACTGAGTCTCCCTCCAAAACAGAAAATTTTAAAAACCTCCCATATTCATAC